AGTAGTCAGTATTTTATATGTAATAGGTCGCGACTATTACAATGATTAGTATGTATGATTGTTGAGGATCATTGTCGCACATAGACTGTACGTTTTGTTAGTTAACTTACATTCTATATGTACACCCATGGACACACTTGTATCTTACAATGCTTTTACTACATACAGATTATTAACAACACTACTGAAGTGTGTTTCAGAATTAAATATATCTTTGACTTTTCATGGTCAGTATTACATTGAATTATGTTATTAATTAAGTTATAAATCAGGAGTTTATAATTTCTGCAGTGAAAAAAATAAATACATGTCATGCCTGGTTTTGCAGACGTAGTAACAAGTTATTGACTGTCTCAGACTAGAACTAAAGAAAATATTTGACCCAGTACATTTTAATACATTGAAATATGATTTTACCATGTTGAAGGTTATAAAGATATTCATATAAAGATATCTTTGTTATGTTATGTATAGATATTTCTATGGTTTTGTTTTGTTTTTATCTAGATTAATAATATTGTGTGATGTATAATTTTAATAATATTCTTATATACTTTTTTTTTTGGTATTCATTTTCACTTATTAAGAAATTTTTAGAATGTCTGTATTGATATTATGGTCATATGATCCTTCATAACAAATACTTCTGTCCATTGATATTATTGTGTCTTTTTTTTTCATTTGTTACACAAGATTTGTAAGATCACAGTATTTATACAATAGTAAGACAAGAATACTTGTAACATCTCACTTCCTGGTAAATAGATACCTGGTATAGGTGGTCAGCTGGTGCAGTGGTAACAACTCGCTTCCTGGTAAATAGATACCTGGTATAGGTGGTCAGCTGGTGCAGCGGTAACATCTCGCTTCCTGGTAAATAGATACCTGGTACAGGTGGTCAGCTGGTGCAGCAGTAACATCTCGCTTCCTGGTAAATAGATACCTGGTACAGGTGGTCAGCTGGTGCAGTGGTAACATCTCGCTTCCTGGTAAATAGATACCTGGTATAGGTGGTCAGCTGGTGCAGTGGTAACAACTCGCTTCCTGGTAAATAGATACCTGGTATAGGTGGTCAGCTGGTGCAGCGGTAACATCTCGCTTCCTGGTAAATAGATACCTGGTACAGGTGGTCAGCTGGTGCAGCAGTAACATCTCGCTTCCTGGTAAATAGATACCTGGTATAGGTGGTCAGCTGGTGCAGCGGTAACATCTCGCTTCCTGGTAAATAGATACCTGGTATAGGTGGTCAGCTGGTGCAGTGGTAACATCTCGCTTCCTGGTAAATAGATACCTGGTATAGGTGGTCAGCTGGTGCAGTGGTAACATCTCGCTTCCTGGTAAATAGATACCTGGTATAGGTGGTCAGCTGGTGCAGCAGTAACATCTCGCTTCCTGGTAAATAGATACCTGGTATAGGTGGTCAGCTGGTGCAGTGGTAACATCTCGCTTCCTGGTAAATAGATACCTGGTATAGGTGGTCAGCTGGTGCAGCGGTAACATTTCGCTTCCTGGTAAATAGATACCTGGTATAGGTGGTCAGCTGGTGCAGTGGTAACATCTCGCTTCCTGGTAAATAGATACCTGGTATAGGTGGTCAGCTGGTGCAGCAGTAACATCTTGCTTCCTGGTAAATAGATACCTGGTATAGGTGGTCAGCTGGTGCAGTGGTAACAACCTTTCACCAAAGCTTTTACTTTGGTTTGATAAAAGTACATTTGAGATAAAAGGCTGATCTAAAAAAGTGAATTCCTATCTTTTTTATATTGTGTTTTGTCTATTTTGCTAACTACCTCATACCAGGGAAGAATTGATCATTGTAGAACGCTCATCTTCATCAAGAATGGATTACAGAATAGGCATTTCTGAAATAAGGATGAAGTCAACACTAATGCAGGAAGCTTCTTGGTAAAGTGAACTTATTCTATTAGTGTTTTGGGATCTTATTTACCCCTGTAAGTACATGTATTTGAGAATAAAAGTATTGATTTTTTTATTTTATAAGCCATAGACATGCATGTATAAATGTGCCGCAGCATTTCAAGACAAGGTCTCTTTTAGGTATTGTCAATAATTTGTCACAAAATTAAGAAAAGTTATAAATAGAATTTATATTAAGAAGTCATAGCAGAATCAAATTATTTGCAAGCATTACCAGCCATACAGTATAACCATGTAGTACATATATATGCAGCGTATTGGGAGGTGAATTGATTATTTCCAAGTACATAAGAAGATTCCCTATGTATCAGATATCATGGTGTGTACTGGTATCTTACAACTATTGCTAAACATATGAAATAAAATTAAAAGCTACATATATAATAAAACTTCATCAGAACGTCTTGTGTTGATTTCATTTATATCTAGGACCACCATTCTTTATGCTGTTGTGAACATGCAATGTTTATTGTCAGCTTTTATTTTTAGTAAAAGCTGCAGAACTGTAGTGGCAGAGTTTATATCGTAACCAAATTTAACCTAAGGTAAAATATGTGTCGTATGGAAATTTAGAATTAAGTAATCATATGGATACATTTTAAACTCAATCCTTGCTTCCAAATATACTCTGCATATCAAGGTTATGTATAAACAAGAGGCACAATGAACCTGCTTCACTCACCTGTTTGTTGATTGATAGTAAGTTGTTTAACATTAAAAGGTGACAAGTTTCAACAATCTGTAAGGAATTCAAATCAGTTTACCTCATGGTGTTTAAAGTTTTACGAGGTTGAAAAAACATGGAAATCATCATATCAACAAGTTATTGGTGAAATTTCAATATCCAAAATTTTCTGGTTATTCAGATTAAGTTGTTATAAAAGTTTTCATTCCATTTGACCAGGGTGTTGAATGCGAGTTGATAAGGTCATACATTTGCACAAGTAATACTGCAAAGACTTTGTAAATTGACACTGTCAGCATAGCATTAAGATGGGGACTCTGGGTGGATGGCAAATGTGAAAGTATGAACATTGCCTTCACTAGATTGCACAGTATAAAGGTTTCAATTGTAATGTTATGATCCAGGAATTATTTGAAGTTTTCAGAGGGAAGACTGGATGGAGTACAGGGTCAATCCTCATTATGAACAAATATATACATCTGTTTATTATAAATCTCTTGTATTGGAGATGAACTTTAAAGTGCCATAGTCATTCAGAACCCCTGCCAAGAAGAACTGCTGATGGAGGTTTAATTTCATCATTTCTTCCCATGGTAATGAAGAAATATCAGAAATGGAAACCCTGGTAGTTAGTGACAGGCTTTTGATTGCTTTTATGGTAACTTTTTCAAGTTATGGTGCAGAAACAGTGATTTTGGCACTTTTGGCCATTTTCTCTTAGTAGCTCTTTATCTCAGCAAGCTACAGGCCTAATATCAGTACCCTGGGCCTTTCTTTATTAAGAAGTTCTTTCAAGGTTTTTACATGTTTAGCACTTGTGATCTTGAAAAATGGTCAAAATCATTTATTTGTACAGTCTTGGTACTCCTTTTTCCAATGGCCCAATATAATTACCCGTTCCCCTACTGAAAGTTTCTTTAACACATTTTACACATGACCTTTAAAGTGGGTCAAGTCACTCATTTGAACAAACTTTGTAGCCCTTCATCCCAGCAAGTTACAGGCCTAATGTAAGTACCCTGAGCCTTTCCCTTACTGAGAAATTTTTGTTTGAAGATTTTATAACACATTTCACCCCTGTGACCTTGAAAGTGGGTCAAGGTCATTCAGTTGAACAAACTTGGAAGCCCCTCAGGCCAGATGAGTTAAAAATCTTAACAAGAGGCCCATGGGCCTTAACGGTCATCTGACAAAAAGCAAGCCAAACCTAGAAAGTGGGTTGAGGTCATTCATTTGAACAAACTTGGTAGCCTCTCCTCCAAGCATCTTACAGGCCCAATATCAGCACTCATGGACTTTTGCTTGTTGAGAAGAAGTCGTTTGTATATTTTAACATATTTGACCCCTGTGACCTTGAAAGTGGGTTGAGGTCATTCATTTGAATAAACTTGGTAGCCTTTCCTCCCAGCATGCTACAGACCCAATATCGGCACTCATAGACTTTTGCTTATTGAGATGAAGTCCTTTGTATATTTTAACATATTTGACCCCTGTGACCTTGAAAGTGGGTTGAGGTCATTCATTTGAATAAACTTTGTAGGGCTCCATGCCAGCATGCTATGGGCCAAGTATTAGCCCCCTAGGCCTTCTAGTATTTGAGAAGAAGTTATTTAAAGATTTTGACATATTTGACCCCTGCGACCTTGAAAGTTGTTCAAGGTCATTCATTTAAATAAACTTGGTAGCCTTTCCTCCCAGCATGCTACAGACCCAATATCGGCACTCATAGACTTTTGCTTATTGAGATGAAGTCCTTTGTATATTTTAACATATTTGACCCCTGTGACCTTGAAAGTGGGCCAAGGTCATTCATTTGAACAAGCTTTGTAGGGCTCCATGCCAGCATGCTATGGGCCAAGTATTAGCCCCCTAGGCCTTCTAGTATTTGAGAAGAAGTTATTTAAAGATTTTGACATATTTGACCCCTGTGACCTTGAAAGTTGTTCAAGGTCATTCATTTAAACAAACTTGATAGCCCTTCATCCCAGCATGCCACAGGCACAATATCAGCAATCTGAGCCTTTTGGTTATTGAGAAGAAGTTGTTTAAAGATTTTAACATATTTGACCCCTGTGACCTTTAAAGTGGGTCAAAGTGGGTCAAGGTCATTCATTTGAACAAACTTGGTAGAGCTCCATGCCAGTATCCTCTGTGCCAAGTATTAGCCCCCTAGACCTTCTAGTATTTGAGAAGAAGTCGTTTGAATGAAAAGTTTACGGACGGCGCACGGCGGACGACGACGGACGAAGCATGATGACTATAGGTCATCGGACCCTTCGGGTCAGATGACCTAAAAATGCATATCCTGATAGATAGGGTTTCTCTGAAAAACTGTTTTCTTAAAACTTCAAAATAGTTTCTTACAACTAACCAGTGATCAGTATGATATAAATTTGTTTTATTTACAAAAGATGTGTAGAAAATAACAATATTTAATGACATCAATGTACATGATAATTCAGACTATTCACAGAGGACGGCGGTATAGGTGTGACAGCAATGAATGTTATTTCTGTAAGGTAAATTGCTCTATGAATTCTTTCTGCTCCCTTTCTTCCTTCAGAAGAGCTTCATACTGTATCCGCAACCTGAAATAAAGGAATAGTCATCAAGACTTACATTCAACAAATGTACCCTGTCCTATATCAAATAGTTTTGTGAGCTAAGGCTAATATTATGAGTCATATGTTTCCTGTAAGAAAGGCCAGACCTAACCTGTTCAATATAAAATTATTTTGAAGTGATTGCTTCAGTTAAATACAAGATATCAAATAACATGACCATAGATATAAAACATGTTGATGGAAATATCACAAAATAAGACTTACTTAAGCATATCTGTCTTCTTACAAGGAAATAATTCAGTCTAGATTATATGATAAAATTGCAATATGCTTCTGGTCCCTAAATGAGTTGAACTAGATAAAGAAATTTGTTCAATTTTAACTAAGCCTTAATTTGGGTACAAATGCTGACCTTGAATGATCAGAATTCAGTTAATTTCATTGCATTTTAACCATTTAGTGTAGTAATTATCAGCTAACTAATATCACCCAGGTTCAGGGGACAGATTCTTAAGTTGCACACTCAGCTAGTCTCACTTTTGTCATATTGCATTAACAATCTTTCTTTTTAGGTCTGGGTTGAAATCCCCTTTTAATTAGCTTATCCCCATGGAGTTGATAGATTTAATTAATCCATGATTACATCATTTATTGAATCATACCATAACTGCATTGAGTGTATAAAATATGATATCACACTGTACTATTCAAAGGGCTCCTACTCAAAAATCATTAAAATCACACTGACCCTAGTTTCACATTTAAAATATTAACTTTTGTACCATTAGACTCAGAAAAGTATGTTTTATGTATACAACATGATGCAGATGAAAATTGGTTATTGTTGCTTTATGTCCTATTAACAGCCAAAGTCATTTAAGGACATGCCTGGTTTGGATAGTGGAAGAAAGTTCCGGGAGATAAAAAACACTAAGGTGTTGCCAGTACTTGGTGACTATCCCAAGTAGGCCTCAAACCTGCAACCCAGAGGTGGAGGGCTGGTGATAAAGACACCTTAACCATGCAGCCACTACAGCCCCACAGATAAAACATTTACATATGCATATATGAAAATTAACAATTCAAAGCAAGTGGTTACTACAATACATTTCATTTGTATAATGTTTGTCCTGTAAACAAACAGGAATCTTTTGATATTTCTATGAAAACAACAAGGATCAAATCTCACAACAAATTACAATCTTTAGATCATTGGATCATGATTTATCAACAATGACTTCATTGGTAAAAGGAAACATCATACACCTCAGGGACTTTTACCTTTCAAGCTGCATTTTCTTTTCTGATGTTAAAGCTTGTAGCTGTTGCTGTTGAGATTCTCTTTGCTTTGCTATTGACTTTAATAAATTCCTTGAACCAATCGCCTAAACAGAAGAGAAATAAAAATAATGATACAGATCCTTAATAACAACTCTCAACTTTATAATCATAGAAAAGATCGTAATAATCATCCATACTTTTATTTCTATTGTTGATTATTCTACCAAAAAAGTTGTTTTAGATCTACAAATGGAATAGGAAATCAGTTGATTTCTGTTTCTCAATAACCTTAACATAATATTCAGGTCCCATACCTTATTTTGGAGGGTTAAAACCTGTCTTTTATTATCACAAAACAACTCTGTCACCTAAAAAAAATGTTCAAACTTTAAAAACAAACATATATTACCTTCATTTTTTCTTTTTCCACTTCTTTAGCTACATTATCTACAACCTCAATAAAGGTTCCAACAATCTTTTGAAAACCACCAATTTCTGAAAAACAAAATAAGTGTGACATACATCATGACTGTTATATATATTTGAATGATTTGACACATAATGTAAATTTAAGTAATTCACAAATAGCTTGTACCTGAAAATCAGTCATTACGGACTGCATAATTTCTCCTCTGCCTAGGATTCAATCGCTTTGTTCATAAGGTAGTAAATATTGGCCACTGATATTTACAAATTAGTAGGTTACTAAAATGAGATTTCCTTTGAAAGCCATTGTGGAAAAGCTGTGTCCTTACACTTTCTTACTGAGAGTCAGGAAGGACAACTCTTGGTAGAAACTGACTATAGAGTTATTATTAATCTTCAACTTATCGATCTTATATAATTGCCACTTTAAAATACACAGAGTTTTTGATACTTATGTTATGAACATATAAAAGTTACAAAAATAAAGAATTAACAGATGTCATTATGAATAGGTGTGGTTAGAATTATTTGCTAAGAAACAAAGGAAACCTAAAATGCCAAATTGCAGACACTGTTGTGTATTGCACAAAAAATGCCTGAATATTATTCCATATGTTGATGACAGGGGCCTAAAATGTCTTGTTTTATGTTGGGAAGATTTCTGACTATATATTGCAACCAGACAGAAAAATAAAATTTGGAGACAGGTATTCACAACCCTTTTGAACTAATTCAGGTGAGTCATACAGTACTTTTGTGAAATCAACAGGACAAAAAAGCATTTTTTCATTCAAAGACTGACGTATATATACATGTATTTCATAAGCCACATTTGCAAATACATATCAACTCAAAAAATAAGTTGTATATTTTTTTATACAAATTGATCAAATGTACCAATTTTCATTCAATAGCTTTACTGATAACAATTAACATGCTTGACACATGTACATTCTATAACGTAAGGCGTACCAGTTTCGCTGGTAATTCGATTTAATAAATTGTAACCAAAATTTGTTTATTTTTTCAATGTAGTGAATATTGCATACATAATCTTCATGTATAGGTCAGTTATGCCATTTCGTCATTATATTTTTGAAAATAGCACTTTATGACTTATCTGTACACAAATGTGTCGTAGTTCAGAGGAGAGAGAAAATGCCCTGTAAAAAGAAAACGCTTTGCAGTTCCGTGCATCTTCTCAATTCCAATAATTTCCAACCTCGATGAAAGAGAGACCATGAAAATTTTTTCTTGTCTGTTTAAATACGGTATGCTTTTCTACTTACTATCAACAAAGTCTTTACATTCTTCTTTTAATTCTAGTGTTTGCTGTTGAACTTCGGGTTCAAGAACTCGTATTTTATTCAGCTCATCAAAATGAAGTCCTGCCCGAGCTAATGCCTCGTCTGCCATTTTACAACAAATGGAATGTCAAGGGAGTCGGCGTAGCATTGACGCTCAGTTTATCATAACGATTTTTGCAAAACACTCGCAAGACTGTGGTTGCTTCATTGTCATTGCCTTGTTTCGTAAACACTTTCAAATGTTAATATCGATTAAACAAACTACAGCTTATAATAGCTATTAATTGCAAAATTAAAATTAGAAATTCCATAATTACATCAGAAGTGATTATACTTTTTATCAAAATCTTATATGTTTTCGTATTTTACTAGCTTTGCATTAAATGGGTGGATGTTGACGTCATAATTTTTCTCGTACTTTAATGTGCAGTTCTATATTTAGACACAAGTATAAATAGAATTATTAACCTCTCTTCGTCACAAATGTGAGGGGGACGTCTTTGTGACTACTTCGGAAGAAGACAGCACAAGTAATAGTGTTTTTGACTTGTGCATAAAGGATCGTCTGGGCTAAAGACCGCTGTCTACATTACCTGATCATTGGGTTGATCTCAACCCCCTCCCTCTGACTCAATGATGTCTGGGGAGACGAAGACTGTGATCAAGGGAAACTCCTCCAAGTATGTGAAGCTAAATGTAGGAGGGACCCTCCACTACACAACCATCGGAACCCTTACCAAGCAAGACACCATGCTCAGGGCCATGTTCAGCGGAAGAATGGAAGTGCTGACAGATTCAGAAGGTTGCATTCATTAGCTTAATCTTCTGTTCAGTGGAATTTTTTTTTCCATTTAATTTGACTTTTATTTTCCAGTGCTGAGTTATAATCTTGGTAAAATTACAATACTAACCACATTATACGGCTCGACTAGAGATCGCTTTGATTTATTCAGTGGAGCCGAATTGAGCAAGAAGGAGTTTCTCGGTTCAATCCCTACTAGTAGCCAGGCATTGAAATAAATATGATCTCTGTTACATTTGCCACCAGTGCAGGAGCTTGGGAATAACACTGATCATTTCTCTACAGGCATCGCTGTCAACACTGTAAAATCAAGGCAAAGTTCATTCTTAGAGGGGAGTTTTTAACCTCAATGAACACTTGTGGTATTATACCACTCAACAAAGCTGATCTTCTCTTTAGCTCAGTCAGTTGAGCATAACATTATTAGCTTAAGATTATTTCAGAATATAGGATTAGTAAGCCAGAGGTTCTGGCTTCAATTCCTTGCAGTAGCAATTAAATGGATAATGACCTGAATCTGACAAAGATTCTGTGTAGATCTAATTTATGCTCCTTTTGGTTGGTGTCAGATGAATAGCACACACTACATACACTCACACAAGTGAAATAAAAACACATGCAGTGTGAAATTTGAATAGAATCATTCTTAGCTAGTTGGTTTTGAATATCCATATATGATTAAATTGTATTATGATATTGTGCACACTGCTTTTGCTTACATTAACGTAATTGTTCTGATTGTTCATTTCAGGATGGATCCTCATCGATCGCAGTGGTAAATACTTTGGACAGGTGCTGAACTTTCTACGGGACGGCACTATTCCTTTGCCAGAGACTCGACGAGAACTAATGGAACTCCTGGCAGAGGCCAAGTATTACTTGGTACAAGATCTAGTAGTGTTAGTAGAGGCTGCAGTAAAAAACATGGACCACACTGTGGAGCTTGTGTGTAAGGTCCCTCTCATAACATCACACAAGGAGGAACAGCTTTTGCTCACCACTTCAACAAAGGTATAATATTAGCCCCTCCAGGACTATCCATGCTTCTTGGAAATGTGGTGGACTGGAATTGTATCTAGGTTGTCTATAAAAGAAAAACAGCCAGTGCCAGTCAGACTCATTGTAACCTTATATTAGGTAATCTAGATCACAGGAGTGCATATATGAGGGCTACTGTAGGTGGGCTCTTGCCATACCCATGTGATTACTTCAATATAATTGTCATATAGGCTGGATAATAACTGTATTCATAACATTATGACATCATGATACACACAGTAGTATCCTAGGATACCCAGGGAGAGTGAAACAGTTTGGATTGCTGCTGACCCTCCCATCAATTGTTGGAGACCCTAGGTCAGGAATCTTCATCTCTTTGCTCTGTTCCATACTCTTTGACTCGGTATAATAGTTAAGATACTCAATAAAGGTGTTTGCACCCCATAGAGGCCTAGCAGAATGCTTGCTGCTATAACTGTACACACTGGTTAGTAAATTCTACTCATAGACTACCTTTATTACTTCACATATATCACAACATTCAATTGAGATCTACTGGTCCCTCAACCTTTATTAGAAATAGGACCCCTTCCCACCTCCTTTGGCCCACGATGCCTATCTTAATCAACTCCCTCTTCTAAACCCTACCAAAATACCAAAATCACCGTTTAACTGGACAAGAATAAATTAGTCATAAAACTTTTTTTTTAGCAATCCCCAAGCTCTTCTCCACAATCTAACCTCACACTTTATGGTTGATATCGTAATTCTTGTGAAAACATGAATTCGTCATTGCGCTTATTTATTCACAATTGTTGTTTGCTAAAATTGAGTTGTGTCCAATCAAGTATGTTTACAGTATGCTCCCTTGCAGGTTTTTAATTAGCTTGTCCTTTTGCCATTACAGCCAGTTGTGAAACTGATTTGTAACAGACACAATAACAAGTATTCTTACACTAGGTAAGTCTTTTTTTGATATTTTGATATAGGTGACATCACTTTTATGAATTTAGAAAAAATGAACAATTATATTTAGAGTACTGTTGCTTGCATCTGCTAGTCTACTTGCAAGTTTTGAAAAAATTTAACTGTCAAACTTTTCAAATTCCAAATACCTGGGTAGGGAAAATTATTTTATATGAATTCAGTGACTAAGACATAACATGTTTAACTTAGCCTGATATCCTTTAATCCACGAAGAAAACATGAAATTTTATGCTTAAATTTATTTTCATTATAATTCGTGCATGCTTTTTGTTTGCAGCAACTCTGATGATAATTTATTGAAGAATTTGGAACTTTTTGATAAACTGTCTTTACGCTTCAACCGCCGAGTGTTATTTGTGAAGGATGTGATAGGGAGCAATGAGATTTGCTGTTGGTCATTCTATGGCCACGGATCCAAAATCGCAGAGGTGTGCTGTACATCTATTGTCTATGGTACAGACAAGAAACACACTAAAGTAAGGTTATTGTAGAATCAGCTGTTACTCTGTTGTGAATTATGTTCTACAGCAAAATATTTTTATCTAAAGTTTAAAGGGTCAAAAGATGTCATTTCTCTACATTAAATATTTTCATGACAAAATGCAGGAGACGAATGAAAAGATATAATCTAGAGCCCAGAGACAAAGGTTACTATTTAAAATTTTTGATATTCAATAGATGGTTCCTGTCCATTTGACAGAAACTTTTTTTTCATATATCAAAGATCAGCAATGATATATTAATATTAAAGCTGTATGTAAGTGTATGTAATAAAGATATCATCATGCTTGTAAAATGTATTTTTAAAAGTCATCATGATTAGTATGACATCATCCGACAATTTATTTCCCTCTTCAGACTTTCCTGCTTTTTAATTTGCTTAGACATAACATGATGACAGATTTATAACACTGCTCTTTCTGATTGTAGGTAGAGTTTCCTGAAGCCCGAATTTTTGAAGAGACTCTAAATGTGTTGTTGTATGAGAACCGTGAGTCACGCCCAGATGAAGGCCTTATGCAGGCCACCAGAGGTTATGCTGATGTACATCACAGTTACCATAGTGATGAGGAAGTTGAGGAAAAACTGGATCGCAAAGATCGGATGCGGCGCAAATAATTATTTATCATGTATGACTTAGGAATGCCATGTTAGATTGTTAGCATTTGTGTAAGGACATGATCCTTGTGATAAAGTTTGGAGCTTCATTAGAACTCTGGCCTGTCTTCCCATACAGATTATAAACTCATTCATATCAATATAAAAAGCATGTCTGTTTTAAGCATTCGAGCTTGCTTACTATGATTTGCAGGGGTTGAACGTCTTTTCACTTCTAAAATCTCCAGTATACCTAATTATAAGGTGGAAGCACTGCATGATAGACTAACATGTGTACCACACAGTCAGTACATGCCTGGTAATAAGCATGCTGACTTATTTCTCAGTTCCAGAAACACCCAACAAAGGCCATCTAATTAGTGTTGGATTATGACTTATCTCCCCTAGGTTGTTGCTCTTACAATGGACTGAAAAGCTTAACTGATCCACATATCATTACTTTCATTGCTGTTTACTGTATGATTTCTTAGTTATAGGAACAAATATACCTTGGACAATAATGGACAGATAAATAATTTATTATCAAAATTTGGGAATTTTTATTTGTGATTAAATTTAGGAATTGCGTTTATCTAGCAGCTCATTTAACATAACCTTTGGCTCAAGGTTGGGGGATTGGACATATTAAAGGATAATTAAATAGCATTTGTTGGTACTATTGATTCTGTAGAACTGAAATAGATATGGATGGACTTATTACCGGACATATACATACTAAAAGAAGGTTTCTTGATTAGTGTGAGCAAATGTATCTCGGCTAAAGGTGGGTGGGGAGGCAGGTCATTGCTTAAGCGTCTGTGATTGTACATAACTGCAGTTGAGGGGTCAGTAAGTTTGGGTGATTCTACATTACTACAGTAGAGGGGGTCTGTAAGTTTGGGTGATTCTACTGTACTTAAGTGGATGGGGTAGTAAGTGTTTGGTTTGTGATTCTACAGTACTACTATGGAGGGTAAGTTTGGATGATTCTACACTTTATCATTGGAGGGGACAGTAAGTTTGGATGATTCTACAGTACTACACAGTGGGGGACAGTAAATGTAGGTGATTCTACAGTACTACATTGGGGGACGTTAAATGCAGGTGGTTCTACAGTACCACAGTGGGGGACAGTAAATGTAGGTGATTCTACAGTACTGGATTGGGGGACAGTAAATGCAGGTGGTTCGAGAATACTGCAGTGGGGGACACTAAATGTAGGTGATTTTGCATTACTATAGTGGAGAGGACAGTATGTGTATGTTTGTTACGTATTGTACAGATCCTTGTGTTGCGTGTCCGAAATACATATATATGTTGTTGTTTCTGTGAATTGCTCTATCAATACTTAATGCACAAATTTAGGCTACAAAACATGTTTAGCTTTTAAGAAAATGTTTAGTGATAGTTCAGTGTTATGTTGAATATATATGCTTTTTAAAAGTGTGGGATACTCAACTTATAAAGAATGGAATCGAATTATGAATGACTTAATTCTATAATGTTACGTCAAGAGAGACCATGTGATTTCCTCCTAATATATATATACTAGTATTTACAGACACTCACTTGATTTTACCTTACTTCCATATCGTTCTAATAAAATTTTCTTCGATCGAACTATGCTGTATTTATCCATTCATATATTCAATTTTGTTACACATTATTTCATTCTATATACAACTGCATGATTTTGTCAAAAATTTAATTATTATATATTTCCAGTGGTTCAAATTTTTGCATATTTACCAAATGTTTGATGAAAAAAATTTGCAATGTATTTTGTGTGCAAGTCATGAAATGAACCATCATTTTCTGTATTGACAATGAATTATAATTGTTACCAATTTTATATAATGCTTGAAAATAGCAAAAATTGAAACCTTTGAAATAAATTCTTTAACAATTCATAAAACCCTTGGAAATAACATCTTTTACAATAGATTAACATAAATGTTTGCATGTAGACTAAGCCAAGTGGAAAGTATAACACAGTGACTTAGTGTTCTGATACAGTTGTCATTGTAATCCTATCCTGTGCCGGTATATGTATGTGTTCCCAGCTTTCACCTCCATCACATCACAGGTACAACTGTCAGCCTGCCAGACGCTACTGTACAACTATAAGTTATTTTTGTTTTGTTGCCATGCTGTAATACCTTGATTTATTAACCTCATTTGGTAGGTGCTCTCAAGGTCGTTGGTGAGGTCAGATGTTGCTACCGTTCAGCATTAATTACTGGCATGGTTCTGGCCATTGCTGTATATATTACCTCGAGTGTGAAATGCCAAACATTATGTCAGGTCTTGGTTCTTTGAAAACTTTTGAAACAAATTTTCAAGTTTATTTATCTCTTTTTCATTGTAACAATGAACTTATTACACAACTATTTTTTCAAATCTGGTGATTGTTAGATAAGTACAATACTATTGTCTTGTTCTATATAAAGAAGCTAAAAACATGGTTTGAGTAAAGCTGACTGCACTATCATAATTGTCAAATACAGTGATATACTGTTCTATTTAAATATTGTATCACTATAGTATTATCTATAGGTTTTAGAATATTTAATTTACTTGTTGTTATACTTGAGTTAATTAACTGTTATCACGTGAAATCATAACTAACAGTGTGGAAGAACACTGATTTAGGTTTAATATATGTGTTTCATATTTGAAACATTTTAATGACCATTTTATTGGTATGTTACTCATAAATGTAGAAAAGAGAAAATGTGTCATGTTCCAGAATATAGAACGATAGATTCCTTATGTTCTGTGTTGGTGATATTCATTATTAATGTACCTGTAAGGTTATTATGTTATAAATTATGTACTGTGTATGAGTGTACCACAGTTTAACAATGGCCCATTTTGTTAGTAGGGCTAAACACTTGGCTGTTGTTTGATATTAATGCTGAAATTTGTGTTATCATGTATTTTAGGATCAAATAAACACTAAGAGAAAAAGAACAGAAAAAAAATATAGATATATATATATAAATATAGTCATACCAGAGTGAACTCTGGATGAAGGTAAATATAAAATGCCCCCTACATTGTATTGCTTACTGATGAATGATATATGATATGTACTAGATATGACATGCATTGGGTACTTTGATTTTTCTTCAGATGGGAAATGATATTCCTAAAAACAAATACCAGTATTGTCAATGGTACATTATTATTTAAATTAGATTATTGTTTCTGTGATTTTAAACTCACACTTCGAGATCTGAGTTATTAAAGTTGCTATTGTATAAAGTATTGTGGAGTTTTTTAATTTATCACAGTAGCTACATTGATATCTGGTACCAGTGTGATACCTGTAAATCTGAAGACTGTTTTGAAATAGAGTGACAGAGTATGACCTAACTGTAGGTCAGTAGTTTCCATATTAGAATTTTCAAATATGTTAAGATATAGATGATACAATATGATTTAATTATTTCCATTGTCCTTAATGTAGTTAAACTGCTGTCATCTAATTATCTGTCCAGATGTTGTTTCTCCTGCTAATGCAGGTAGAACCCTAGCATCTGCTCTATTTAAAAATCCATAGATAACTGGTGGGTATGTAGCTATCTCCCTTGACCTGTAGGTGATGGATGGGTATCTATTTATCTCCCTTGGTTTGTAGGTGTTGGATGGGTGTAAGTTTATCTCCCTTGACCTGTAGGTGATGAAGGAGTATCTGTTTATCTCCCTTGGTCTGTAGGTGATGGATGGGTATCTGTTTATCTCCCTTGGTCTGGAGGTGATGAAGAAGTATCTGTTTATCTCCCTTGGTCTGGAGGTGATGGATGGGTATCTTATCTTCTTTGATCTCTAAGTGATGGATTGATATCTAATTATCCCCATTGACTTGTAGATGACAGATGGGTATCTGTTTATCTCCCTTGGTCTGGAGGTGATGGATGGGTATCTGTTTATCTCCCTTGGTCTGGAGGTGATATGGGTATCTTATCTCCTTTGATCTCGAAGTGATGGATTGGTATCTGATTATCCCCCTTGGTCTGGAGGTGATGGATGGGTATCTGTTTATCTCCCTTGGTCTGGAGGTGATGGATGGTTATCTATTTATCTCCCTTGGTCTGGAGGTGATGGATGGGTATCTCTTTAGCTCCTTTGGTCTGTAGGTGATGAAGGAGTATCTGTTTATCTCCCTTGGTCTGTAGGTGATGGATGAGTATCTTATCTCCTTTGATCTCTAAGTGATGGATTGGAATCTGATTATCCCCATTGACTTGTAGATGACAGATGGGTATCTGTTTATCTCCCTTGACCTGTAGGTGATTGATGGGTATCTGTTTATCTCCCTTGACCTGTAGGTGATTGATGGGTATCTGTTTATCTCCCTTGACCTGTAGGTGATGGATGGGTATCTGTTTATCTCCCTTGGTCTGTAAGTGATCGATGTGTATCAGTTTATCTCCCTTGGTCTGTAGGTGATTGATCGGTATCTGATTTTCTCCCTTGGTCTGGAGGTGATGGATGGGTATCTGTTTATCTCCCTTGGTCTGGAGGTGATGGATGGTTATCTATTTATCTCCCTTGGTCTGGAGGTGATGGATGGGTATCTGTTAAGCTCCCTTGGTCTGTAGGTGATGAAGGAGTATCTGTTTATCTCCCTTGGTCTGTAGGTGATGGATGAGTATCTTATCTCCTTTGATCTCTAAGTGATGGATTGGTATCTGATTATTCCCCTTGATCTTTAGATGACGGATGGCAATCTTTACCAGAGTTGTCATTCCTTAGCAGTCACAATAAACCTGTAATAGCTTAGAAACTTGTAATAACTGACCTCGGGGTGAAAGTCAGAATTGAATGTCAGGCAAAAATATGATGGCAACACGAATGAAGCATACATGTGTAGACTGTTTTACACGTCATCTGTCATTAATAACAATAAAATTCATACTTTAGGAGAAGAAATGTGCAATATTGTTGTCAAATTACAATCAGATATTATTTATGTCAATCTTTAAATATGTAACCTGAAAATACATCGGTAACTGATAAGGAGAAGTACGAAATGTAAACACAACAGTTCGTGACTGCTTACTACTACTCTTCTGCGATATAATCCATGAATTTTATAAACTGTTTAAATCATTTTCCAAATGAACAAGCATTTAAATACTTTTGCAAAAAAGCATAACTGAAAAATAATGAAATTTGACACAAACATGTTTTTTTTTAAGAAATTTGAAATGGCATTAGATATTTATAGAGGTATTTTGAAGGATATCCCAATGCACTCTGGGAGAAAATAGGGTACCTTTTTTACCTCCCTTGATCTGTAGGTGTTGGATAGGTATTAAATTATCGTCTTTTATTCGTGTTGGATGGGAATCTATTTCATCTTTGATGTAAGTGAATGCAGGCGATCTTATTATCTCCCTTTATGTAGATGTGGGTAATAGATGGGTGTCTTGTTACCTTTCTCAATACAATGATTAGGTAATGGATTGGTCTCTAGTTATCTCCTATGATCCTGGTCATACTAGTCAGGGCTATGTATTTAAATGCCCACTTTGATCCTGGATGTAGATGACAGATCCAAAGGATCACGGACATAGGGGTAAGGTAGGTATGTAATTATATCACTTGATCCTGGATGTAAGTGATAGGTTGATATTCTATTCATTCCCTTGATCTTGGATGTAGGTAAATGACAGTTATCTAATTATCTCCCTTGATTTAGGTTTGGTTTGTATCTAATTCCCTTGACTCTTGGTATAGATGATGTATCTAATCATATCATGTCACTTCTTCAGGATGTAGGTGATGGTATATAATTAACTCCCTTGTTTCTAGATGTACTGGGGTGATTTGTGAGTATCTAATTATCTCCCTTGTTTATGGATGGAAATGTCACAGACAGATATCTGATTCCCTTGGCCCTAGATGTAGGTGATGGTATATAATTATCTCCCTTGTTTCTAGATGTACTGGGGTGATTTGTGAGTATCTAATTATCTCCCTGATGAGGGATGTAGGTGATTGTATATAATGTTCACCCTTGTTTGTGGATGGAAATGTTATAGGCAGATATCTGATTCCCTTGGCCCTGGATGTTGGTGATCATATATATATAATTATCTCCCTTGTTTCTAGATGGACAGAGGCTACGAGGAGTATCTAATAATCTCCCTGATGATGGATGTAGGTGATTGTATATAATTATCTTCCTTGTTTCTGGATGAGTGGAGATGATCTGTGAAGATGTAAGTGATTTACTGTCACATTATTATCATTACTTATGCTGCATGTACTTTTAGGTGAGGAATTTTCCTTTGAAATATTTATACAGAGTAATAAATGCCTTCTCCCTATACAGCTGTATGATGCAGTTTACTTCATTTATTTGACTTCCCTATATATTTAATCCTAAATTTATATTGAAAGATGTTATTCACTTGTGTGTACAATCTTCTGTGAGTAATGGACATTTTACCATTCCATGAAGATGTATAGTCATATAGTCATAAAGTTAATACAAATAGTAGGGGTTTAGTCTGGTCTGGTCTCACTTGTCTGATCCAAATTTCCCCATTTTTTTTTGTTAACAGATTTTCCATCTTAATTAAATTAGTCTTCTGTTAGCTTAGTAATGGGAGACTATAGATGACTTCCATGGATTGATATTTGGTATTTTAAGTATTTTCATCTGTTGTCTTAAAAATCATATGCAACATAAAATTGGTAACAATGCCGTCTTGAAAGTTACAAAATAATAGTAGCCCTGTTAAAAACATCAAGTATCTTAATTAAAAATTAAAGAGAAAAAAAATACATAGACTGCCGAAACCCGGGATCGAACCAGGGACCTTTAGATCTTCAGTCTAACGCTCTCCCAACTGAGCTATTTCGGCAGATGTTACAGAAAAGGGAATCAAAATTATACTTAAACTTTAAAACAAAATAAATGGCACTGTTGATGTTGTCACTAAAATTTCCTACGTTTCATTTGACTGGGTAACGATTGTCTTTACAATAATGACCACAAAGCTACAACAATAAACCGACAAACCCCGATCAGATGTTATAAGAGTAACGCTCTCATCGAGAGCCCCGCGTGATGTTCGAGTTGCCCCTCTTTAATCAACATGTTTTATGCCCGATGCATGGTTGATATATGATTTGATGTCATTTTAATAATTAATTGATTCTTTTATGATTTTAAAGCTTTTTCTGAAATTTCCCATTTATATCCAACTCAGCGTTTATAAAATTAATATAAAGACTGCACGGTTGGTGACATGTTGATATCAAATTTTGATTATGGCAGATACTGGATACAGGGGTTGGTATAATATTTAAGCACTTTGTAAAGCAGTGACAACGGGTGGCATATCAGGTTAATTTTTTTGTGCGAATTTATACCCTTACCTAAGCCATTAATTTAAATTTAACTCAAATTTTAAGAAAATATGATATTATCAAAATGACATTTGACCTAGAATACGGTTTATATAAGCTTAATCATATCCGTGTGACATCAGTCTTCCTAGGGTATATATTGTGGGAGGTTACGGCAGTCTTGCTGAAGTTCAAATCCACAATATTAACCCTACTATATTCCCTAATATATGGCCATATTTTTATGAAATGTTGAATAAATCATTATCGAAACTTCATGACTGGCGATCACTTTTAACCCCTGGAGTATTGAGGATGAGCAAATACTTAAGTTCAGTGGTCGATTCCCGGAACGGACGTGCAATAGCACTATGGAGGCACCTGTCTGGCCGCGTGGGTTTTTTCCGTTGTACTCAAGTTTCCTCCCATTGTAAGACCTTCATGTGTTTCCATCCGGGTCAGCAAGAATTACTGATATAGGCTGATGGCTCGTTTCGCAAGTAATATAAAATAAATTAAATTTATATTAAATATTTCAGTTGTCTGAAATGTGCATACGCTGATGATACTGAAGTATTCTGAATTAATCATTTTGAAAATATCACCGCTCACATTTTCTCATTATTTAAAATGAACGAAGTACGAAGTAACAAAAAAAAATCGGCTTAATACGTTTTGAAAGTCAAGACAAAACGGTAGTCTGAAGACTACGGTAAAGCCGAGGGGTTCTAATTATTTCTTCTGGTTGGTTAAATTCTTGGTTTCAGTCTTGGTAGAGACGTATATATCTGATATATACGTCTCTGGTCTTGGTTATTCAAGATAAATCGCCCTTTCCCATTGGCTGGAACCATCAAATAATTTTCACGGCCGTGGGGCTCAATAAGAGGGCGATTTGTCTTAGCTTGCCATCTGATGTTTGGCATGTCGTAAAAGCAATTAGCATAAGTGAGATCGTTTATTCCTATCTTTATTTAAAATTAAAACGGACTTCAGTTTTGCGACTCGAAACAGACGCATAAACACGGACTTGGTTATAGAATCACTAGATCACTTCCAAGTTCATGAAAAGTAAATTATGTACTTCAACAATTTTTGGTTATATCCTGATCTTTATAAGATCTGAAAGAATTGTTGTACAAAATATTTTACTGAAATCGTTATTTAACACCGAAAATTTAAAAAAGGACAATTAAGAATGTTGATGAATAAACAATAAATATCCACGTGCGCGGAGCACCGAAAGCTGTGTGTGTCGGTCTTAGTGAATATCTGGTGATCGGCATTCCAAATGTATTTTTTTTTATTTCGAATTCTTCCTTTGTTATCTTTTTATTTTCATTCTTCATCAGTCAGTGACTTTATTTCAACAGGTCTGAATTTTAACCACCAAGTACGGTGTGTATTAATTATCGATCTAAACTTATGGCATACCATACACCCCTCCAGCTGAAATATCTGAAGATTCCAAAAATTTCAATGATATTCAAATGTTCATTTCTCCATTACAGCAGTAATAATGACTTTATTTACTTATTTTACTTTTGTAATTGGATAGTTAGTAACAATGTAAATACATACATACGTGTTACTTAAAATGCATTACTTCAAACGTGACCGTCTTTAAATCGCAATCGGTGGTAAGAACTAACGACAAGAGTTGCTTCCCTTGGCTGTTTCTCACCTGAGTAGGTAGCAGGCCAGGTGACGATTACTTTGGCGTCTGCCAGCGACTGTGTGATAAACTACGGGATACGGTACAGGTGAGGCAGATACGGCTGCTGGAGACATCCTCAGGGGATATTAATAACCATGTGATGTCACAGGTAACTTACCTGTGTAGTACAACTGCTAGGTTATATAAGTTTATCTGTTTATAACGGCATTGTTTTGTTTTTCCCTTATAAAGGAATACTACCGTATAAATGTGTCTCAAAATGGCGGTGTAGACCTCGCTATTTAGTCGGAACTACTGGTCTACTAAGGGTGTCGCACGGGAATTACCTATCTTCTCTGGAACCTTAGGGTACGTGATGTGATTTGTGTGATGGAAATAGGTACCCTATAGGGAGTTTACCATGGCTCAAAGGGGACCGCAACCGTACCACGGAGGAGCCAAGTCTAAGGTGAGTAGGGACATGTATAATATATACAGGTGTTTGTCTTACCTGGGGTGTAAAATACCTCATGTTTGTACCGAATATTTAAGCCTGCTAGGCTAACTCGAGTTAATTAACTTCTAAGTGTCAAGACTTCTGCAAGATGAGAAAAGAGACTCAATACCGATTGTATCTCAACTCACATGAGATATGATTAGACTAAACATGTAGATAGTGCTTTTGTTGATAACATGAAAAATAATTCCAAATTCATAAATAGTGATGTGAAAATGATAGGACCATGATCAGATGTTGTTTAAGACAAAATGGCATATTTCATTTGGATGTTAGAATATATGTTGTTAAAATTTTTATATAAAAGAGGTGTTCATAATCAGTGTTGATAATTGGATTTTCTCAAAAATTTCAAAGACACCCTTGGAATGTCTTGCATAAGCAATCTAGTATTACAATTTGAATTCGCACCTCTTTTCATTCAACAACTTTTAATAGAATCGTTTTTAGATTTAGGCAATTTTCGTGTTTTTTCGTTTTACAAAAAAACTTGAATTTTGGAAGATAAGAATTCAACAAAATTAGTCCCCAGCATCTTTTCCTCATAATTCCCCCTTCTGACCAGCTTTGTAGTTCTCGACCAACTCCTGTGCCCTCAGGAGCCCTATTACCTCCTGTCCTCCCTTGATACCTACACCTGTCCTATACTCCCTCACCTTCCTTCTCTCTCTGTTCCTCCACTTGTTCCTCCCCCATACCCTCTTCCGTCTATCTTCCTCCCCACCCCTGTAACCCCCATTCACCTTTAATCCTCCCTCCTATTTCTGTACTCCCCTTTCTTTTATTCCTGTCCTCCTATTCCCCCTAAACTGTCTTCCCTTCTCTCCCACTGGTTCTCCCTGTACTCCCATGCCTCCTGTCCTCCCTCACCTGTCTTCTATTTCCAGGCACACGCCCCCCCTCCCCCTGTACTCCCCTGCCTCCTGTCCTCCCTCACCTGTCTTCCATTTCCAGCCACCCCCCCCCCCTTCCCCCGTGGTGGTTCCCCCTGTACTCCCCTGCCTTCTGTTCTCCCTCACCTGTCTTCCATTTCCAGCCCCCCTCCCCCTGTGGTGGTTTCCCCTTTACTTCCCTGCCTTCTGTCCTTCCTCACCTGTCTTCCTTTCTTCACTGTTCCCCCCCCCCTGCTTTCTGTCCTCCCTCACCTGTCTTCCATTTCCAGCTACCCCCCTCCCCCCCTCCCCCCCCCCCCATGGTTGTTCCCCCTGTACTCCTCTGCCTTCTGTCCTCCTTCACCTGTCTTCCCTTCTCCACTATTCCCCCCTGTACTGCCCTGCCTCCTGTCCTCCCTTACTCAGCACCTCCCCCGATCCTTGTATACCCCCCTGTCTGTAGTACAATATTGATTTGTACTAAGTTGGGATATATTGGTAGTAACACAATATGCTTGTTTCTGCATCACCTGATATTGATTTTTCAATATAAGTTTTCTACCACCCATCAGATGTCAATAAATCTGAGTACAGATGGTTTTGATCGGACAAACTGATGCGTTTTCCTCTGTGTATATTTACAGAAGGGGATAAAATAGTATTATGAACAGTTGAAAAATGAATATATCTATAATGTTATGAAGTGTGCGGTAGTTATTTGGGAGGTTGGGGCTGTCCTCCAAAGTGATGGATTAATTTATTTTTATTTTTTCATTTATTTCATACAAGTCACCACAAATGATTGCTTTTTGTGATATGATGAAATAATTCACATTTCGATAAGGCACGTAGCTGCAGGAGGGAATTTGAAATACAACATTCTTTGTTTGCACAGAAGTTTACACGTTTCTGTAATGCATGTGTCTAAATGAGAGATCACAATTGACATACATGTACAATATGTACTTTAGTAGTAAGCAATATATGCACCATTACTTTATGCCTAAATAACAGATATTTCTGGCTTTACTTGTCAGGTTGGGGTTGGATAAGTATTTGATACTCCATAAATGACAATTTGTTTACACTTCATGTCTTTTATCCGTAGCAGTAGTATATATACATTCCTAGTGTCTCACATATAACTAAACAATGAAACCAGGTAACAGGGATGTACTGTAGTGTATTCTTGATAGTGTTAATTATTACTGTAAACAATATTATTTCAATGATTCAACAATATACAAAACATTTCAATACAGATAGGAAGACAGCTCATGTGTATTCTTTATTATCCCGTGTACATAAGGACACTATATATATATATATATATACGATTGTTCTATTTTTAATATGGAGAACATATTGTACATAAGTACATGTAAATAAGATTTTTTCTTATTTTTAATATGAAGTACATATTGCTGAAAATATTAATTTTACCAGCTTTTCTGAAACAATCCCTTAATTTGCACACTGCCTTACATTAGTAGGAATATTCTGATTCACTTTCACCTGTTACAGGCATCATAGAATTTTTTTTCCTAATGTTATTCTCTAATGTTTTGAATACAATATATATTCCTGATTTTGATGTGTTGGATATACGGTAGTTTTTAGATATAAAGGTATTTGTCACTTTTCAAGCTGGGCTCATTCTTCACTATGACAAATGTATCAGATCTACGCAGGGGTTCTGGGTATAGGTAATTAGGGAGTCTGAGACCTAGAATTCAATAGATGACTGGTTGTTAAGCTGACTGATTAATATAGAAACTAAAGGTGATAAGTATATACACTGATATTATAGTAGAAGCAGATATGGTAATAATACCTAACACATGTTGAAACAATTACCCTGTTAGCTGTATACCTGAGCCAGGTGAAAGTTGCTCAAAGGAGAATTTCAGGTGAAACTGTACCTGTGTCGTGTGAGCTCAAATGTCAACATAACTAAGTATTCTATCTTTGGCTAAGTACTTTATCATCCATTGTAAATATTCAATTAGACTATCATGGCTATATGATGGAGGGTCATTGCATCAGTGGGAAGCCTCTTATGTCTACCTGATAGATAGGTAGGTAGGTAAGGTACAGGTATGACAAACAAGATAAAAAAAAGTGCCACCCCATTATCATGTCTGCTGGTGTGTACTTGGTATATAAAATGTAGATAAAAAAACTGCCAGTGTTGGCCGTCATATGTGTAAGATGTAAAATTTGAGAAAGTTTGGAATGTTTCATTCTTCTGAATTTTTCTACTTCTCATAAATATTGGATAATCTGACAGTGATATATTAGGAACTAATGAAATGAATATTCTTGTTCGTGGTAACAACCGTGCTATGATCATTCTTTAAATATGCCATTTGTCTGGTTGATTTAATAATGCATTTTATCTCTTACCAGGACAGAGTTTAGAGTCGGAGTTATTTTTCCTCTTGAGATGAGAGGTTCGACAAGTTTTATTATATTCTTACGAATCCTAGGATATTGTCATACTGATAAGTCACAGTCATCTGTTAACAATTAAGTTAAAACAATTGTGTGTTTATAAGATATTTAATTTGTATCATTGATTTAAATAAATATATATAATTTTAAGCATGCAAGTATAAAGCATACACTACACATAGCTATAGGAGTAAAGACTGGAGAATAGTTGCTAGTCCCTAGGTGAGATATTCTAACACAGATGAGTAATTTTGCATTCATCCTTGAAAAAGCCACACATGTATTATATACGATACACTGTGTTAAGATTGAGCATGCTGCCTCTCAATAATACTGGTAATTCACTGTCATACAACACTGATTAATATTACATGTAGATCAGATGCAGACTGATAGAGTGTTAATACCTGAACACAACGTTTCCTTCTTCTTTTGAAGAAATAATTAACAGGAAGTTTTCTAAAGATAGCATCAGTGTAACAGGTGAGTTATAAATAAGTTATATGATCAAGTCTTTTTTCAAATGGTTATAAATTTCAAGCGAAAATAAAGGTATGATCAGTGATCGGTATGAGTGCGGATATATACTGTACAGTCAGGCAAAGTGAAGGAGAAATCTGTAAGAATCTTAACAATCTGTACAGTCAATATATATTTTCCTCATTATTATTCCCCGCAAAACGCATTGCTGGGGATATTTATTTGGGCTCCATGCGTCTGTCTGAGAGCTTGTCTGGGCTATAACTTTAAAACCGTTGAGGTCAAATTCACAAAACTTGCTGTATATATTAGGTCAGTGCCCTAGTTGCCGCTAATGCTATTGACAACATTTCATTTTTTTTTTTATATTTTTCTGTTACTATGGAAACATAGCCAAAAATACAAAATTAGTGTTCTAGAACTTTGAAACCATTCCACTCAGCTTCACAAAACTTTCTGTATATGTTAGGTTAGTCCCTTAGTAAAAAAATGTTTCCATGGAAACAGATATCCCTCATCACAAATTTCAGTTTTCTGGACCACTGATCTGAAATCATTTAACATTTTACACTTATTAAGCTGGTAGTATCTTTTGCTATGGGGAAGTTCTCCATTTAAATACTATCTGTGTTACCATGGAAACAGATAGGCCAAATAGCAGATTTCATTTTTTCAGGCCAGTTCTCTTAAACTGTTCAAGATAATTACCAAGTGCTCGAAACTTTGTACAGGCATAACTCTAGTACTGTAATAAAAGTTCTCCATTTCAATACTTTGTATAGAACAATTGAGAGAAATTGCAGTTGTTGTAATATGAAGATGTATGATTGTGTGTGTCATGCCAGTTGATCACAGTTTCAATCCATGAAGAGAATGTTGACATGTTATATTTCGATACAACTTATAAGTGGTGCTGCATATAACCCGGAAAATACAGTAGTAGCTCATATGTGATGTCAAGCGCTTGAGATGAAAAGTCGAGCTCTCGAGATGGTACGCTGAGTACTTGAGAAAATATGTTCAGTATTGAGTGCTTGATATTATATATAAAAACAATCAAAATATGTTGAGTGCTCCAGAAAATGTGCTAAGCACTCAAGATAATAAGTTGAGCACTCAAGGTAACTTTTATAAAAATAATTATAT